ACCACCTCACGTGCACCGAATCCTTCATGGAATCCGGGAAAAGAATAGTACCGATCATGTGATGTATGCACGTGCATACATCTTGATGATCTCCTCGGTCGCATCGATCGGAACATTCATGTAATTGTTTCTCAACCATTCAAGTTTGATCCTTCCACCCCTCAAGTGAGGAGCTTGACCCAGCAATGCTTCACACTTGTCTGACCAGTTGAAGTCATCGCTACCTGTGACAGCATCTCCATCCACTCAGAGTCCAAGCAAAACCCCAATATCCTGCAATGTAATCGTCGACTCTCCTTGGCGCAGGTGGAATGTGTTTGCCTCGGGCCTCCAACGTTCAACCAGTACTATCAATAGAGGCCAATTAAGTCTCACCCATTTAATTTGTGAGCACTCAAAGAAGCATGCTTGACGAACATAATATTGGACATGTGGATCGGTTAACTCCTAGCTCGAGTGTGCACAAGTGTGATCAACGATAGTAATGCTCGGGGCCTGCATATAATAAACAATATAAATGTTCAGTAATAATCAATAACTTAGAATAATTGATATGATTGAAAATGTAATTTATAACTATCAATCTAATTACCTCCCCAATGTTAATCTTTGCGGATCGATGTCAAGGTTGGTCATAAAGGACCTCATACGTCAATGGACCCGCCTCCATATCTGCACATATGATGATATAAATGAAGCACATATGATGATATAAATAAAGTAGAACATTATGAAGTAAAATAAAAGTTCAAATTTCGAATATAAACGAAGTAGAATAATTAATAAAGAGTAAATTAATTGTACCTATTAATTGCTATTTATTTGGATTGGTGGAACATTGAGATCTCCTGTGGCCCGGTTGTCTACAATATTCACATATATTTTTTTGGAACTCCTTCTCGACCTCCATCCATCGTAGATTTTAGGCGTGTTGATCTCGGTCGTCCAGCTTGTCTCTTAAATTCAGGAGGTAACACATGCGGACCGTTATAGGGTGGCCAGTAACGACTATCTACAATGGGATAAAAAAAACTGACTGTATGAATCTCTATAGTGTCTTGATTGATACCACTTAGAAGCGAATGTGTAATACGATGTATTTGCACCCTCAAATTGCTTGATCGTAACTGCTATTACATATGAACATGGCAATTTTTATAATTCTAGTATGTTACATGTGCATGCGCATTGTGTCCCTCGTAGATTGACAGTGTAATTATGATCGTAAATACCCCCCATAGTGACCAGCCCAGAATGGGCTGGTCACTATGGGGGTATTGATTGTCTGTAACCTCTCATTCATCTATAGAAAATCTCACAATCTTAGTCAATCTGGCCTGCTTGACACGAGCTCCTATAATATCTTCATTTTTTGGGGTGAACAACATCCCCCACTTTGCTCCATCCTCTCGCCGCTTGACAAAATACTTATTTAGTCTATAAAATATCCTCGCAACCAATGCCTGTATGGGCATTGCTCGAGCCCCCTTAAGTACACCATTAAAACTTTCAGAATAATTAGTTGTCATCATGCAATAGCGATTCCCTCCATCTTTACTTACTGCCCACCGGTCGACGTAATCGCTTCCCAAACTATTCTCAATCCAATCATGTGCAGCTGGATATGTTGCCTTGATCTACTCCTGTAGCGACAAGCAATACACCCTTATCATGTGACACTCTCAATCGCCAAATATTTTTGTCATCGTAATTTTCCTTGCATTCCATGCTTTGATATACGATATTTTAATCCACTTATCATGTGACACTCTCTCAATTATGTCATCGGGCTTTAGTTCAAGCTTCTTCTTTAATCTTGGCATAATCAACCGAGCTATGTAAGAGGCGGAGGCACCACTGTGGTCTCTCTCGAACATTGGATTGTTACATGTGTGAACACCGCAGTATTTTGTGATCCTAAAATACCCATTATGTTTCTTTCCGACAAATGCATATAACTTCCAAGGACATGTGTAATCAGATTCATTCCCCTCTGCCCGACCTTGGCTTTGTGTATTCATAAAACAGATTGCCTCATAACTTATGCGATTGCTTTTAATTTGCTTGAATTTGACCATCTTTTTGATTGAGTAATCACGAATAGCATCAACCAATTGGTCTTTAGTCTCAAATAATTCACCAACTCTGAAAGGGACCTCCTCATCATCTCCTCTATTGGATGAACTTTCGCCAATGTGCATATCATGTACTGTGGAAGAATGAACCCACTCATCATCCTCAAACTCGTCGGGGGGTGGTTCTTCGTACTCAACATATTCATTATTAACATAAGCTTCATCTGGCTAATCCGGATTCTCTTCATTATCTTCACCCACAAATTGCATGCTATCAAGTAAGTCATGCTCTTCATCTTCACCATCAGAGGCATCGCTTCTTTCATCCTCTTCATATGAAGCTGCACCACTGTGATATTGAAATTGAGTCCGCTGAATTTAACTCGAAGAAGAAAGAAAGCCTTCAGACTCAACTCCCAAATCTAACATGCGTGAGAATTCTCCTGGAGGGTTGAATATTTGGCCCGTACTATGTGGCACCGTTTCAATAAACAATTCTATCGTTGGTTGTGACTTGCTCAAATTAAACAAAATAATCATCGAATGATCGTTTGAGATCTCAACTGTAGACGTTCTATCATAAGTTATCGGCCAATTGCATATTATTTTTAGTCGACACTCTCTTGGGTCAATTGTCGTAACTCGATGCAATTCATTAACCAAGTCAAGGTAACTATATGATTCCGATATCATTAATGGGATTGTCACCCCTCCGACGTACATTGGTATATTATTCATTCCATAATTAATCATTTCACCATAAGAGCAAGCAATAAGAATCATATTGTTCAACCTATGCAAAACAAAATTATATCATTTAAATGCAAAAAATTTTAAAAAATTATCAATTACAACCCTAAACCCTAATTACAAACCTAAACCCCAATTACAACCCTAAGACCCAATTACAAAAGAAAACCCCCAAATCCTAAACCCTAAAATTGACTCCCAAATCCTAAACCCTAAAATTGAGTATTTTATGCCCCAAATGTCAAATTTCAACTACAAAAAGAATAAATTTTCTAAATAAATCACTACAAATAGAGTTAAAACACTATAAATTCATTTTGGAGAGAAAACCCTAGATTTCTACGTTTCAAAGGAGAAGAGAAGGAAGAGAAAGTACCTGTTAGATCTTTCACGCTGAAATTCCGCACAAAGCTTAACGTTGAAATCAGAGATCCGTGGCTCAATGAGAGTTTGGGAGGAGGAGAGTGACGAAAATGAGAGAGAGAGGCGACGGGAACCGAATGGGAGTGAGGAGAAAGAAGTCGTGGCCTTTTCATATAGGAGCGGGCCCAGTTAACAAATAGTCAGAGTTGTGAACCCCGACTATTGTCCTTAGTCGTTTTCACCACTCGGCAACTGGGCCAGAGGTATCTGCCATATGGTCGGGTTTAGGAACCCCAACCATTTCGAAATGGGTTTACGAATTGGTAGGGTTTGCCAACCCCGACCAATTAGACAGGGTCCTAAATTAGTCAGGGTTGGAAACACCAACTATTTTAGCTGGCACGTAGCTAAATAGTCGGGGTTGGAAACCCCGACATAGCTAAATAGTCGGGGTTGGCAACCCCGACTATTTAGCGGCGCCATTAAAAAAAATCGACCCATTTCGTAGCCACGCTGCTGACGTGACCACGAAATGGGTCGATTTTGATAAATAAAATGAGAATGAGTCGAATTTTTTAATAAAAATAAAATGGGTTTATTTTGAAAATTTGTTCTTTCCAATACCCACGTTTTCTTTATTCTTAAAATTCACAAGCCCATCTTTTTCTCCCCTTCTCTTTTCAAAATTATCCTTCTCTTTTACAATTTTCGTCCCAAGATTTTCAACACCCACATTCTCTTTCTTCTCAAAAATCTTCAAATTCACATGCCCATCTCTTTCCCCTCTTTTCTTTTCACCATTATTCTTCTCTTTGACCAATTCCACACCAAAATTTTCAATACCCACATTCTCTTTATTCGACCCATTTGAATCTGGACAAATGAAGAGAGGATAACCTCAGCGAACGCCTCAAAGACCCATGTAGGTTCTTGATGGATCTCAACGGCTCAGTGAGGCATTTCGTCGAACACCTTTGTTGGGTTTTCTTGGGAGAAGAAATCTGAGTTGGATTTGGAGAGACTGGGGGAGATTGGAGATGGGTTTTGCGGGAAGAGGGTTTCTTTGTTGGATTTGGTGTGATTTCTACCAGATTTTTAGTAATTTGGGGGTGAAATCAAGGGGATCTCCTTACAGTTACAGGAGTTGGGGTTTGATGAGAATGAAGACTCTTCCCGTACAGCGAGAGAGATCATGGGTTGTGTGAAACATGTGTTGGTTATTCATTTTAATTGTTCATAACCTTAGGTTACTATTCATTTTAGCTTTTTTATTGTTCTCCTTTTGTAAGAAAGAAGTAGATTGGGATTTGGCATTCATGACCAAGGGTGGGAAGCTACAAGACTGTTCGATGAATCGATCCAATCCGGTATGAAACCAGACAGTATCTACTTTCGTGTCGGTCCTAGCTGCTTGTAGCCATGCAGGCAGGGTACAGGAAGGACGAGGATAGTTTGAGTCAATGAGGAGCAAATACGAAATCCCCTTGACAACCGAGAACTACATGCATCTTGTAGATTTGTTAGGTCGTGCGCAGGATGCGCAGACAAAGCGTACAGATTGATCACACAAGCTGAACGTTTTTAGCCATTTGCTATTTAGAAACGTACCCTCTCCTCTCAGTTTAGGGGTTTTTTTTCTCTCAAAGATATTTTTTTTTATTTGCAAATCATAGGCAAGGGTCCTCTGAGAAAAGGCCAAAACTCAGAGGGTTTTTGTGAAATTTAACCCTTACGTGCAGATCTCAACCCTTTGATATGTTGTCAAATCCTCAATAATTAAATGGGAACAAAGACGTACACGATTGCATTATCTATTACTGGAGGCTCATGTCGATCGACAGAACACTATCTTCTTTCAATCCAAAGTCAGGAAAATTGAATGGTCTTTTTCTGGTGTTCGGCCTTATATTTCTGTAGCATTATCGGCTCCTTGTTATAAACAAGTTGTTTTTGAGCAAGTTGTTTGTAAACAAGTTGCATGATAGAAGGAAAGAAAAATTGGAACAATGGAGGACAAGGCTAGTAGTGTAAGGGAGAAGCGGTGGTCTCTTCAGGGAACAACAGCTCTAGTCACCGGAGGAAGCAAAGGGATTGGGTATGATACCTCTCAAGCTTTATATTTGTTTTTGAATCTACTTTTATATCATTTTTTTTAATCCACGTTATGTCATCTTGCTAAGGGTGTCAAACTGGTCTCGACCTGTGGGTCAAATTGATTCTGATTTGATAAATCCAGATACGCATATGAACTAATATGGGGCCTGAACCCAATCGATACGTCTGTTAGAATATATTGTTGCAGTTAGAATATATTGTTGCAGTGAGGGGCCGCACTGGCACAAAAAATATCTATACAAAATAGATAACAATATAGCATTGAGTAAACACCGTAGAGACAAAGAGAATAGCACATAAGGACTTAATGTGGTTCAGTTAGTATGACCTACATTTACAGATGAGGACAATAGAGGAACTCACTAATCAAATAGAGAAAATTACAACATGGAGCGAAAATTACAACACGGATCACTCTCTAATATCTCCTCGAACTCATAAAGAAAGAATATTCAAAACTCTTCCTTTTCCTTTTTCTCTCTTTTCTTTTCTTCCTAACTCCTTATTACCCTTCCTCTGTCCGATGCCCTCCCTCATTGCTCACATCACTTCTCATAGAAATACATCTTTATTATGTGAAAAGGACAACATGGTAGATGGAAAAGAGGGGCTAAGATCATCAATACGTGGGCTAAGATATTAGGTGGGTCAACTTACACTTGCTTCATATGTAAGGAGGAGACTCAAATTTCTTCTCTCTTCTTCATACGCAACGTCACGTTTTAATATATCTCCACATTGACTATGAATATGAAGCTCCTACCTTCATTCTGCCATCTTGTCAGAAGCCCCTTATCCTCCTCTTTGTTGAACTCCAAGCAATTCAAAGCAATGCTCGAACTTGCGAGAAGATATAGGCTTCATCATTATATCTCCTAGATTATCTACATCATCAATTTTCTCAATCTTGATGGCTTTAATTTTTCCAGTAGATTGATATCTAACATCTATATGCTTGGTTCTTCCATGATATATCTGATCCTTCGTCAAATGTATTACACTCTGACTATTACAAAACATTGTAGTAGCACCTTGGTATAGGCTGAGATCTTCAACCAAACCTCTAAATCAAATAGCTTCTTTTACTGTTTTTGTTACAATCATATATTCTATCTCTATAGTAGACAAAGCAACCATCGACTATAGAATAGTCTTCCAACTAATGACACTATCTGAAAGAGTAAATACATAATTTGTCGAAGATCATCTCTTATCTAAATTGCCCACATATTCTGAATTAGAATAACCATGTATTCTACAATCTGAATCTGTGTTCCGGCCAAAACACAAATCAATATTAGTAGATCCTCTTAAATATCTAAGTATCCATTTCACAGACTGCTGATTGACCTTTGTAGGCTTATCTACATACCGACTCACAACACTGACTATATGTGAAATATATGGATGGGTGCAAACCATAGCATGCATAATGTCTTCTCTTGTATTGACATAAGGAGCGCAAGACATGCGCTCCTCTTTTCAATTTGAGGTGACAAATTTGCTGAAAGATGAAAATGAGCAGCAAGTGGAGTCTTCACAGGGTTGACATCAATCATGTCAAATCTCTCTAACACTTTCTTGTGTATTTCTCCTAAGATAGAAAATATTATTTCTTGTCTGTTCCTATGGATCATCATGACCAAAATCTTCTTTATTACTCTTAAATCTTTCATCTCAAACTCGTGCTTGAGCTGAGATTTTAACACGTTGATTTCTTACATGCATTTAGCTGCAATTAACATGCGTTAGCGTACCAAAACAATTATATAAAAGAACCATCATTGTGCTTTTAATGGTAAACACAAATATCACATTTACTTAAGCATGAAATTATAGATTGTTTCAACCCATAAAGAGATTTTTTCAACCTGCACACATGATCTTTGTTACCTTCAGCAACGAATCCCTGTGGCTAATTCATAAAGATCTACAACTCAAGCTTGCCATGTAGAAAAGGTATCTTCACATCATGTTGCTCAAGCTTCAAATTAAAGTGAGCAACCATGGCAAGCAACATGCTGATTGAGATATGCTTTATAATTGGAGAGAACACTTCATCGAAGTCCACAACTTTGATTTGATTAAAGTATTTAGCTACCAAGCGTGCTTTGTATCTAATAGAATCTGTACTCGGAGTTCTTTCTTTATTCTTGAAGACTCATTTGCAGCCAACGATTTTCTATCTCCTTTAGTGACTTCACTAACTTTCATGTCTAATTCTTGTGAAGAGACTCCATATTTTTAGTCATCGCAATAGTCCAATCTGCAGCCTCATTGTCACTAATAGGCTCATTGTAGGTGGAAGGCTCTAGAACCTCAACCAATTTTGCTATGCTTAAGGCATTAGCAACCATGTTTGCATAAACACTGAGGAGATCGGTGTAGGCTACCCCAAAAATTATTGTAGATAGCTGACCATCAACTAATGATGAAAGTTACAATTTGACGACTTTGACGACAGTAACCGAGGAGATTTACAAATTGACGACTCTCGTGTTTTCAAGAGCCAAATTCAAGGATTACAAGATGACAATCATTACAACGCTCTAACAAAAGAGATCATCTCTTCAGTAATCACAATAGTCCAATCTGCAGCCTCACTGCCACTAATAGGCTCATTGTAGGTGGAAGGCTCTAGAAGCTCAATCAGTTTTGCTATGCTTAAAGCATTAGTAACCATGTTTTCATAAACATTAAGGAGATCAGTGTAGGCTGCCTATAAAATTATTGCATATAGCTGACCATCAACTAATAATGGAAGTTACAATCTGACAACTTTCACGACAGTAACCGAGGAGAGTTACAAATTGATGACTCTTGTGTTTTCAAGAGCCAAATTTAAGGATTATAAGATAACGATCATTGTAACGCTCTAACAAAAGAGATTACAAATTGACGATCTCTTCAAACCAAAATGCAAGGGTCATCCCCGCGTTTCAATCTCAAAATGCGGAGCTCACCCCTGCGTTCCAAATGCCAAACGCGGAGCTCATCCCCGCGTTCTAAGCTTCAAACGCGAAGCTCAGCTCTGCGTTTCATAGGCTAAACGCGAGGGTCTCCTCAGAACGTGAACCTCGCGTTTGACTACTTCAAACACGTTTTAAATGGTTCCAAAACCATTTTTGCACGTAATAAGGGCATTAAACCCCCATTATGGAGTAATTTAAGGGGTCAGTTACACCCCTTAGACCCTATAACTACCAGTGTTTACAGCTGAAAAAGGGTCGAAAGTTTTAAGATCACTAAGAGCCTTGTGAGCTTTTGTTATTGGCTTTTGTTGAAACTTTTTCCTTGGCTTTTGAACTGCTTTCGGTTGAAAAACTTGGAGATTAGCCAAAGGCTTATCTCGGTAAAAAGGATTGACTCTCTTTCTGAAACTAACTTTTTTACAGAATTCTTAAACTCATTAAAAGTTCTAAACTTGCTCCGCAAGTTCTTCCCGACGTCAAGTCAAGACGAATAGACAACGTTCCACGAAGCAAAGTGCTCGGATCGTCAACGAGATACAAGATTCAAGCTTCCATCGCCATCAAGAAGAACCCAGTTTTAAATAAAGGAAATGATCTCCGTTGATACCTTCTCTTTTGTAAATCGGGAAATCGATAAGAGAATATTATAATTTCTAATTTTTAAGTAGGTTAGAGAGAGCTTACTTTGAGAGATTGTATTTATTCTTTTCTTAAGTCAGTTAGGGAGATTGATACAAATTCATTTATTCTCATTTCTTCTTGATTTTTTCCCTCAAACAATCAGATCTACCTTTTTGTTCTTCTGGTGATAATATTTGTACTTTTGGTCTTGTGGCAGATTAGCATTTAAAGTTTAACCCTCAGCAGTAGTAACTGGTTCAACATAAGCACCCTCAAGCATCCTCTTTGAAGAGTTCTTTAGCTCCACCTGCTTATTAGATTCCTTTTTAATACCTGCAATATTAGTAACAAACTTCTTTCTTAGATGAAGCATAAAGTTCTCATCAAAAGTAACAACCCTACCAATAAATTTAGGTGACCTGGGATCAGAACACCACAACCTATATCCCCTCATCCAATAGTATATCTTAGAAATATAGCTTTCTTTGCTCTAGGTTCAGAGCTTGGCATCATTAACATAAATTAAGTAGAGCAATCAAATTCTCTTTAATGTGATTAATTAGCATGTCCACAAGACTATGCATCTTCTTGAGTCTTAAAATCAATCGCTATACAAGGAGATCTATTTATCATATAGCAAGCTGTACTGACTGTCTCGTCACATAAGTCCTTTGACAAACAAGCATTAAAAAGATGCACCAAACTCTTTTCTAAAAGTGTTCTATTCATTCTTTCTACAACTCTATTTTTCTGTGGTGTATGTTGAATTATGTGATAATGCACAATACCTTCATTTTAACAAAATTGGTCAAACTTTATGAAATAAACTCCATTCTGTTGTCAATTCTGAGGCGCTTCACCTTATTTCTTGTCTGCTTCTTAATCATAACGGTCTATTACTTGACTGTTGCAAAAAGATCATTTTTTATGCTTCAAAGGATACACCCAAACTTTTCATGAATAATCGTAAATTAAGGTTAGCAGAAAATGAGCTCCACCTTTTGATTGAACCTGAGAGTGACCTAAAATATCTAAATGGATATAATCTAAAATACCTTTGGTTCTATGGACACCGGTACTAAAGGAGACTCTATGGTGTTTGTCAAAAACACAATGCTCACAAAAGTCTAACTTGCTAGTTTTCTAACCATAAAGCCAACTTGTTTACTCAATATATCCAATCCTTTCTCACTCATATGTCTTACCTTTTGGTGTGCCAGAATTTGAATTCACTAAGGATGACCGCACCTGTCACTATACTGTCTTCAAGGATATAGAAGATTTTTACCTTCTTTGCTTTCATCACAATAAGAGAGCCTCTACCAATTCTCAAAACTCCACCTTCAGCTGAAAACTTAAACCCATTAGGGTCAATGGTGCCTAAATAAATGATATTCTATTTTAACTCTGGTATATGTTGGACATTACTCAATGTTCTAACAATATCTTTATGTGTTCCAATCTTGATTGAACCAATACCAATAGTCCTACGAGGTATATTAGTTCTCTACAAGAAATTCCTACCATCAATTGACTGATATGTAACAAATCACACTCTATGAGGACACATATGATAGGAACAACTCGAATCAAGAATCCACTCATCTTTTGAATGAGTATTAACACTAACGAAAAGAACTTCATATGAACTAGATGATTCTTTTGTGAATGGGACAATTAAAGGTTTCATCTCCTAAGACCTTTGCTTTGAGCGCTGGACAATTAGGTTTGGTATGCTCAAACTTGTGATGGTAATAATACTCAATATTTTTTCTTAGCATCGACTTTGATCTAGACATATATCTAGATTTGTCTCTATCATCAACACCCATCGAACATGGGGGACAAACAAGCCTTCAGCTTGATCTTCACCTCCTACGATAGACACTTTTTGCCTTAATTCTTTTGAATGTAAGACTAATTTGACATCTTTCAAAGAAAGTGTATCTCTACTATAAAGTATGCTATTGACAAAATTCTCAAAGGAGTGAGGTAATGAATGTAACGAAAAAAGGACTTGATCTTCTTCCTCAATTCTAACATCAATATTCTTTAAGTCCATAAGAATAGTGTTAAGTTTTATAATAAGTAGTCTTTAATTCGCATACCTTCCTTCGCGCGAAGGGTGAAGATGCGTTGCTTCAAGTAGAGCTTATTACTTAGAGATTTTATCATGTACAAACTCTTCAACTTGAGCTACAAACCGACGGCGGTATCTTCATTGGTAATCTATCACATCTACTCATTAGTCAAATAGAGCTGTATGACATTATGCGCCTTCATATTCAGTTCTTCTTTCTCGTCATTAGGCATGGATTCTGGTGACTTGCCTTTCTTGGAGAAGACTTTGGACAATCCTTATTGTACTAGGAGAGCCTTCTTTTTGACTCTCTACAAACTGAAGTTGTTTCTCCCGTCCAAATTTTTTACTTTGTATTTTACTAAAAATATCTTGTAGCCCACAAGAATAACAGTTGTTGCTCTGATACATAATTGTAACTCTCAACTCTCACTGCAACTTCATAGTTTTGGTGCAGTGGCAAGGATATTTGACATGGTTTCAGAGCCACCCAGGTTCAAATCTCACTAATCACACTTTAAAGCAGATTTTAGAAAACTAGATAACACTCCAAAAAGGGCGCTTAGTCTGCAAGTGAATTGTTAGAATATGTAACTATAACCCTTAATCCTCAC